AAGTCTCATCTTGAATTGTAACTCCCATAATTCCCAAGTATTGTGGGAGGGGCCTGGTGGGAGGTATTTTAATCATGGAGGCAGTTTCCCCCATACTGTTCGCATGGTAGTGAATAAGTCTTACAAGAGCTGATGGTTTTATAAGCGGTTTCCCTTTTTGCTTGGCTGTGATTTTTCTCTCTTGCCTGCTGCCATGTAAGATATGCCTTTTGCCTTCCCTCATGATTGTGAGGCTACCTCAGCCATGTGGAACAGTGAGTCCATTAAACCTCTTTCCTTTATAATTACCCAGTCTTGGATATGTCTTTATTAGCAGCGTGAAAACAGACTAATACACTGCCATCTGAATAACTCAGCTGCCACCATGCCCACTCTTGAGTCATTCTGCTCAGGATTAAAATTCCAAAGGAGAAAAGTAAAAGGACTATCTTAGATCGTGTGTTGACCCCCTTGGCCAGAAGAAAAGGGATATCCCGATCAACAGTCCCACCACGATCTCAGGTAATAGATAGGAGTCATTCTCCAAAGGAAGGTGAACACATGTCAGAGTGTTGCCCTGGACAGTCCCAGTTTATAACTGTTTTAGGAGTAACTATAAATAGCATCACTTTTCGCCTGCACAAAACTGTTTTGTCCAAGTTTGGATCATAAATTGCATGATCAATTCACACAAAGGAAATTTGGGGCATTGTTACCAAGGTAGCAATGCTGAGCAGAGACAAATAGCTACCATTACTATGAGGCTATTAGGAGGGGTCAAAACAGAGTATTTTGCTCCCAGTCTCTCAGAACCAAAAGATGAGAACCAGAGTCAAAAGTCCCTCTTGGTCTTTAGGTTTTGACTCCAGCATGAAAATAATATTCCTATACTCAAGTGTTGAATTATTACGACTTTGACCCAATAATTCTGGTCCCTTGTCTTTGTATGTCCTTGCAGCTAAACCACTAAATGTTAAGGTGTTCTCCTTCACTGCTGCTTTTTTAGCTTAATTGGCCCCTCCTGCTTTCCAAAATACAATGCTAACACTCATTCGCCCAGTTGGAGGGTCAGGGTGATACCAGATCCAATATTCCCCAAAGCCTGCGTAGGCTGGTTGCTGTATCCCTGACTACTGATTAATAATAAAGGAGTCAAATAGCACCTTTTGATTCTGATTTCCTCTGAGAGGCTGTTCTACAAGCATGGGGTCAACTTAAAGGAAGCGGGGTTTTGTTTAATATTTTCTCCTTTCATTAGTGCACTTAAATTACTTTCTTGTAAACTCTGCTTGTTACCTAAATGTACTAGCACTTTTGTTACCTAATTAAGTTTCTTATCAGAATTCCAACCAAAAATAACAAGAAATGTAATAATGATAAGATATCGTGCTCCCTCAAAACAGATTTCCTTTTGTGCTTTATCTCTTGGTACTGTTCTGGCTTGTTTAATTAAAGTATCAGAAATTATTAGACTCAAATTATTTCTTGATCTAGTGCTCAAATTCTCCTGAAAAACTGCTTCTTCTGCCTCAATATTTAAACCTTTATCAGTATGAGGCAGATGAGTTTCCACATGTTTGCAACTGGATTCATGTAATTCAATATAATTTTGGAGGACGATCCTAATTTAGCGGCTAAGTAATTAAGCAAACAAATCAGATTTGGCTACACTGAGCTACCGTGAACGTTTAAATACTCATGTCTCCTCTCCTGTGCTCTTGGATCATCAAAATGAAAAACGTTCATGTGCAAAAAACAAACCTTATGAAATTCTAGCGTGGAGATGTGAAATTCAAAGCAACCTTCTTACTTATTTTTTCATCGGAGGGATAGGGCTCAAAATATCACAAAGTTCAAATCACTAATATAAGTTGTGTTCAAGGAGGGTAGTCATGTCTGTTACAGACTTTATCATAACTGATGAGAAAGTACGCTTACATCACAGCATTGAGAAGGAGAAAACTGTAAGACATATTGGCGATTTCTGTTCCTCATACTCTGTGAAAAAAATTCAGGTTGGAATCTGCTTGCTTCTGGTGGAGCTGTGTGAGAGGTTCACGTTCTTTGAAGTCGTCTGCAACATGATCCCCTTTTGCACGATCAAGCTTGGCTATCACAATTGCCAGGCAGCCATCTTAAACTTGTGTTTTATTGGAACTTCAATACTTACCCCTGTGTTTGTTGGATGGCTCACTGATGTCTATTTAGGAAGAAACAAACTGGTGTATATTTGCTTGTTTCTACATTTTCTAGGTGAGTGTCCTCTGCTGACTGGAATGTTTTGTGACTTAATTGAGTAGATTTTTGTTAGAATTTTTAGTTTATATTATTTTCACTCTGCTCTTAGCACAAAATGTGATAAATGAAGTAAGAATGTGGTTTCAATGTATTTCATTCTCTGTACTATTTGAAGAATGCTAGTAAGTGTGTGTGTGTGTGTGTGTGTGTGTGTGTGTGTGTTAGAGAATGCTTTGATGCCTATATCATTGCACTTATATTTTACAGTAATTACTCCTTTACATATATATCCTACTCCTTAGAATGCCCTCCCTTCCCAAAACCTTTTTACCTCAAGTCCAAATTCATGACAAATTCCCTCAGAAATGTGAAATTTATTTGCTTCACAACCAAGATGAAATGTGCTAAAAAAAGGTTTTTGAAGTTCATGTAAAATAATTGAGAAATGTTTTTATCCAAAGGTGGTCTTTTAATTAGTCATATACTAATTAAGATTGCATATGATGGTATGATTTCTATATTATTAATTATGATTATATGCTTTAAAAATGAGTAAATTAGACACCACAGTGTGCGTCTTTACATATATATTAATATGTATCTGCAAAGGTTTGGGATCGATTGCGAGAAATGCTGGGAAAATATCAAGTTAGTTTAATAAGGAATAGAGAGCAATTTGAAGAACAGACTAGAATTTTAGACTGAAAAGTTCAAGTTATTCTTCTTAAACAACCAGAAGTCTCTGAAAATATCATGAAAACAACATTTGAGAAATGCTATTCTGCAATACAGGATGGTCAACCACAGTGAGAGATTAAATAGACAGAGATCAGAACATCTCAGGATGATGGTTTAAGCAATAAAGTGCCAATTCAGGAGAGAACAAGTGAAAAGCTATAAAAACTTGGCAACTAAATAAAGGTACAAATGTGATGGGGGTCAAAAATTAGCTCCAAGTTTCTGATCTGAGCAACTTGGGAATATAGCATGCTGTTCACCAATAATGAGAGGTGCAGCCGAAATGAGTGTTGGTAGGAGGACAGATGAGAAAGAGATGGATAGATATCAGGTACTCAACATATCACACAATCTCAGGCAGGTGGTAAATTACCATTCAGAGAATCCATTGGAGTGTAAGTCAAACCTGGAAAGTCCGCAGCTGAAGTTCTGTGGAATAAAAACTAAGGCACTGCATGACAAATAATCACTCAACATTTAACAAATATTTCTTATTGACTACTCTGTACCAGACATTATTCCAGGTCTGGAAATGCAATAGAGAAGAAAGTCATGTGTTCCTGCTAAAGTTGACTTTTTGGTGCAGGGAGAGAGAAAATAAATGAGGAAATAGATGTGATGTCATGTGGCAATGAGTTAGGATGAAAAATAAAGCTGGGTGTGGGGACAGGATGGAATGAGTAGTGATGAGGCTGCCACTTGGTACCAAGAAAAAGTTTTCTGATCAGAAGAGATTTAAGCAAATCCAAGACTCATTTACTCTGCGTACCTTGGTAACAGGCCACACCAGTAGCATTTGCTGACTTCTTGTTTAACATGGTAATTTCTATCAGTCTAGATTCTGAGGTTAGTCATCAGACAGGATGGAAATCCCAAGTTTGGAATTTGGCAAACAAAAGACTTAAGTCAACTCTACACCCATTCATTTTTTTTACTAAAAGTTATTTCTTTGTTGCCCTCTGCTTACAGCTGCCATCAAATTCCAACCAGTCACTAAATATTAGAGGTTATATAAAAATAGTCTCTCCCGTCTGAACTGCTACAACCCTGGCTGAAAAAAATGCAGCTTTCTTCTTTCTGACCATTCCAATGGCCTACTTACTCGGCTGCCAGTTGTCAATCAGTCTCCAGTTCATACTCCATTCTACCAACAACACTGACTTCCTGAACAAATAAATCTCTCTATTGGCTCTATTATCTAAAAAATCAAATCCAAATTTATTAATTTAGCATACAAGAACCTTACCAAGTTCACCTCTCTAGATTTCTCATTCAACATGCAACCCCAACCTTGCTAATTTCTCCTGGCCTCCTTCCCTAGTTTTCTAATCTTATACAGGCTCTTCTCTCTTCCTGAAATTGTCACCTTCCCTTATCTTTCCATCCCTTATCCATGATTGGAAAATTCCTGCTATTGTTTCAAGAACCAAATAGCATTGTTGCTAGCTTCTCTGTGTTCAACCACACCCATATAATACTTATACGATTGCATCCATCACTTTATAACATAATAGTCCACCTGCATGGCTGACTTCTCTGATGGACTCAGCAGTTCCTGGAGAGAAGAGCCAGTGGACCCCCACCACCTAGCAGGGGGTATGACACATCATGGTGCTTCTACAGAGCTACTAAATGCGGGCATACTGATGATGAGATACACAATTGCACACATCACAGAGGAGACTTTTCTTCATATATGTCATAGATTTGTCTTTTTGCTGCCCCATTTTACAACAGATAGAGATAAAGTTTTGATTTAATACAATCAGCCTATTATGACATTTTCTCAAAAGACAGAAGGAAAGTGCCTTTCTAAATTACACAAATATACCATTCAAACTAAAAGTGCCTTGTTCCTAAGTAAATAGTTGCTGCATGAAATAGTTGCCCTGTCCATCCTCTTTGGACATCCCTTTGTCTAGCCAGACCTCACATCACACCTACAGAAGAGAAGACTGAGTGAGTGGTAGAAAGAGAGAAGTTAGTTTCATATCCGGCTAACCTTAAAAGGGAACATTTCAAACTCAATAATTTAAAGGGCTCACCTCACGGTAAATGAATCTGTTGCCAAATAGCTCTTCAGTGCATATATTCTTTACATTGTGAAAGCCTCTGTAGGGGAGATGGAAGCATTAGACCAAATTTTTATCTATAAAGAATTTATAATCTAATTGAGAAAACAAACCACATGAAATAACTCTATAAAAATTTATACCAAATAACACTAATGCCAAATTGATAAAATGAAGAGCAAAACGAAGACGGAGGAGTCATTTTTCACTAATCGAATCATCAAAAAAATTAATGATGCTAACTACCATGAATGAAGGTCTTCTCATACAATGATGGTAGGAGATTAACTTGTTGCATTGTTAAAGAACATTTGCCAGTGGTATTAAGAAGCAATAAAAATAGGAATGCCTTTGACTGAGAACTTAGGCTAATAAAGATGTGCACAAAAATTATGTGTCAGGGTATTTTATGGTATTCATTTAAAATAACTGAAAAGGTCTTTTAAAATACATTATGATTAGAATATCACATCATCACTAGAAATCATGTTGGAAAAGTATAAAGGTATTTTAAAAATTGTTCATATTATTTGGTTACATTAAAAAATCAACAGTGTAATCTCAATTTATTTAAGTAAAATATATTTATATATATTTAAGTAAAATATTTTTAAGTAAAATATAAATATTTATAAAATATTTTATTTTATAAAAGTAAAGATGATCTCTGAGTCATGAGATTATGGGCCTTTTGTATTATTCTGAGTGCTTTCCTCTATTTTTCAAATTTTCTGAAATAAGAACGTATTACTTTTGTAATCTGATGGGGGGGAAATGCTATTTCCAAAAAAAAAAAGTATTTGACTACTTGATGGTAGGAGGTCCAAGAAGAGGGAGATTACAACTGGGTTACTTTATAACATTAGGCAAGCCACTTAACCTCACTGAACCTGTTTCTTTAAAAAAATAAATAACAAAATCTATCCACTCACATCACAAAGTTTTTTCAAGATGAAACATATAGTTCATGAGCATCCTTTGTAAAATATAAAGAGCTTAGCAAAAGCATGGAATTGTACCGTAATTTTTATTAGACAAGGAAAGACATCAAATGTGGTCCCCGCAAGGTGGAAGAGAGAAGGATACTCAACCTTATTTTGTCACTTTATGTCCCCTCTCCTTCCAGCTCACACTCCTCTGTCCCCAGCCTTCTCACCCCTGTATGTGGCAAAGAAGGCTCCATCCAGCTGTGTGAGAAATAAGATAAATAAGAAAGACATTACAAGGAGAAAGAGAAGTAGGAAAGAAAAAAAAAAGACTGTGTTCTCTTTAACGATAATAATGTTCTTCTTAAAAGCTTTTATGTAATAGGCTTCCGAGATGTCTGAGATCATGGTGTTTTCTGTCACTCGATTGATTAGGAACAAATAACCTTTATTAACAGTGGTTTTCTCTGGGGGTGGGAATACTAACAGCTTCATTTTGTATACAATGCTTTTCTGAGTTATTTTAATTTTGGCAAAATAAACACGATTTGCTTATACATTCTGGGAGAAAATACAGTTCAAGCTTGAGGAAGAAAAATAACCTAAAACTCTGGATTAGTTAAGACACATATTGAAGGAAATTCTTACAATTAGAAAACATCAGGCTATCCCTGAAATTGCAATGACTAGCATAAACGTTTGGATAAGACAATCACAAAATGATGCCACTGTCAGAGGAAAAACCCTGTTTATTATGTGATTTGGTGATCCAATGGTTCTATGTTGCATTTATTCTTTTTTTTCTCCACTTACAGGCACTGCTTTGTTATCTGTGGTGGCTTTTCCCTTGGAAGATTTCTATCTGGGCACTTACCATGCAGTTAACAACATACCAAAAACAGAGCAGCACAGGCTGTTTTACGTAGCACTGTTGACCATTTGCCTTGGCATTGGAGGCATAAGAGCCATCGTCTGTCCACTGGGTGCTTTTGGCCTTCAGGAGTATGGATCACAAAAAACAATGTCTTTTTTTAACTGGTAAGTAGCACTGGCTAGGAGACAAAAGAGGCTTATGACCGTCCTCACTGTTTACTTTCTGATTCCATTTGGGTAGTAGTTGTTCAGTCTTTGTGATGAATTGGGCTAAGTGACGATGGAATGAATCTGTGATGATGATTCAGTCAGTAATCACAGGAGCTTCTAAATCTCATGCAGACCAGTACAGCTTACCAGCACCTTCCCAACACACACGGATACATTTATCCTCCAGGTAAAAAGAATTGAAGTGCCTTGTCCTGCAGAATAGAAGGTGGCTTTGGAACCAAAGAGACCTGGGTGGAAGTCTGGACTCTGCTTAACACAAGCTGACTGACCTTGACCTAGTCATGTATTCTCTACTTCAGTTTATTCATTTCTGAAGGGGGATAATACCTCTTCTCCAGTTTTATTAGAGGTAACACCATGTGTACTGCTGGCAAAGAACTTGGCACATAGTAAGTGATCAAAAAAAGGTAGCTGTTAGCATGTCTGTATTGTAGTAGACTAATTTGGGAGAAATTATAAATTTCTAGGCCAATGCAGAGAGAAGATGCAAAGATGAAAGAAGTATTTAACAATTTGTTAAAACATCACCCAGCATCTCTGTTTCTCACCCAGTTCGCTCCCAACACCTAAAAGAGTTTATATTCCATGAAAATCAAACAGCCTTCCTGTGAATCTTTGCCTCTCCCAATGAGTTCTTATGGAGTTCGTCAGTTTTTGTGTTTTTTAAGGAAACAATTTATATTACCAAATACAAATTCAAGAAAAAAAATTAATATGTGGATCTTAAGGGAGGGTAGTTAAGCATTTAGTATAAAACTTCTTTGTTATCGTTGTTATCTATCAGTGGATGTCAAACAGATGTGAGCTACACTGTCCATTTTTAGAGTAAATAGTGTCTATACGTATATGTATAGGCATATGTAGCTCTCCGAGGCCGTTCTTCTTTTCTCTTTTTTTTCTTTCTCTTGCTCCCCTTTTTTCTTTCTCTAATGATATTAATATTATAAAGCACTCAGCCCTATTTTGGATTAAGTCCTAATGTCAGAGAACAATGCAGTCTTACCAAAGGTAGAAGGGCCTCTTTACTTCCTTGCAGCAAATTCTGCCTCCTTGACCTGCCCAAAGGAGAAAGAAAAATCCTTCTTTTTTATTCTATTCGGAGGTTTTAATCCTTAATTAGCAACATCATTTTGATTAAATAAGACTCTGGAGGATTAAGACTGGAGAGCAATCAGTTGTTCTGAAAGATAGCTCTGGAGAATTTATTGTACTGTGGTCTTAGTCATTCAGAGTTGTGTTTAATCAAAGTGACATTTCTCAGTGTTGATTACAAAGGAGACATTATATGAATGAAATATTTCCTTTGGGAAACAGAGGGGACTCCCACTGGGTCCACGCTTTAGGGCTTCCGGAAGGGGGCTGGGGAATGGGGAGAAAATGAATTTCCGCAGCTGTAAGGAACCAGGCCAAATTGAGGACGAGCACATTTAGATTTGTAAAAATTATTTTCCAATTTCACTAAATAGCCCAGTATTTTAAAAATTTAAAGTTAAAGCATCCAGAAATGTGTATAAAGAATCAGGGTGTTATTCTTTAATGTGATAAAAGAACTGGATGATAAGCTCCTTGAAGGCTGAATCTGGTTGTTTTACCTTTTTTTATTTTTCCAGTTTAAATACTAAACTACAGGCCAACTTTTATGAATGTTCACTTACCTTACTGTAGTTTATAGCAACGAATGCTGATTCCATTCCTGTACACAGTGCAGGGGCTGGTGACAAGATGGACAGAGACTCCACTGGGCAACCAGACAGCTGGCAGAATCCTGGCTCTATCACTTAGGAGTTTTGTGGTCTTTGGCAAGTTCCTTAATTCCTCAGAGCCCCAGGCTCCTCATCCACCAAGTGGGAATATCTTGGAAAGCTATTGTATCACTTATACATAAAGTATCCTAGCATATTATAGGTATTCAAATTATGATCACTATTGTTATGATTATTGCTAAATCATGGATAAGCCATCAGCTGAAACCATTGTCTAAATGCTAGGAAAGAGGGGACCCATTTAGGAGGAGGTCATCTTGGAAAGGAGCAGTTTATTAATGCATAATCTATGTCTTCCAGTCAGTGCCTCTAGATATTAGCCTGGTAAATATAATGAATTTCAGCCGTGCCTTTAGAAAACAACATACCCCTTGAATCTGTAACTACTTGAAGGCTGCATTCAGTTCTATTTGCAGCACAGATGTCAGATGTTCATAGTTACAGGACCTTTAATGAGATGTGTCATTGCTTCTGTACCACCTAAAGCTTCCCAGTGAGCATGTTAAGTAGCATAGACTGGAAGTCTCAGGCACTGAAAACACCACTTCCGAGTAAAGCTGCCAAATGTAGGTGAGAAAACCACTCCTAGCCAACATTACCATCTGGTACTGGATCTTCCTCAACTAATGCACCTCACTGCAAAAATAAAGCTAAACTCCCTGAAATCAAGAGACATAAGAATCTGCCAACATCCTTGTGACATTATCCAGATCAGAACCTGGCTTTCCACATATTCCAAAAGCTGAGATGGACAATTAAGAATAGCCAGACTGGAGATCACCTAGGTAAATACACCTGTGCAGATTCTTTTCTGGAAGCAAAAAGAAGGAGAATAATGAAGTCTGTTCCTGGCCACAATTTTAAATTCTACCACAATTAACCTCAAATCTTGCTTCTGCATTTCTCTACTTTCTTCACCTGATAATTTGCATCCTATCTGCATATCACAGTCTGTTGCTAAGGGGTTACTAAGGTGAATTATATACATGATTAAAAGCCCAAGTAGAATATTGGTAAAGTTCTTGAAAAAAGTCTGGAGACTGACTTATTTCACCCCAGAAATGTTGACTATCTGGTACTCAAATTGACTCTACGTGGTATCTGTCTCAAACTGAAATATTCTGATTTTAACACTTCCTCAAATTAAATATATTTTATCTTAGAGAAGCACTAGAGGTAAAAATATATGATCCCACAGCATTTTTCCAGAATCTATTTTAATATTCACAAGAACACTGAGAACAATGATTGTTAATCCTAGGTGCACATTAAAGCTACCTGAGGATTCTTTTTTAAAAAGTACAAATGCCTGGGTCCTGCCACCAAAGATTCTGACTACATTGGTTAGAGGCAGGACCCAGGGACCAGGATTTTTTTTAAGCTGCCCAAGTACAGTTGAGAACCACTGTTCTAACGCAGTGTTGCTGATTTTAATTATCACTTGAGAGCCTTGTTGAAAATGTTTCCCAGGTCCCACCTCGAACCTCCTGGATCAGAATTTCCTGGGAGGACAGGTGGGAAATGCATATTTTAAACAAGTACTGTCTTACTCTATTCAGGCTGCAATAACAAATCAGCATAGGTTGGCTGGCTTATAAACAATAGAAATTTATTTTTCACAGCTCTGGAGGCCAGAATTCTGAGATCAGGGTTCTGGTGAGTGTTCCCTTCCTGGCTGGAAGACTGCTGGCTTCTTACTGTGTCTTCACATAGTGGAAACGGCAAAGGAGCTCTAGGAGGTCTCTTTTACAAGGGAACTAATCCCATTCAGAAAGTCGCCACCTCTATGATCAAAAGCCCCACCTCCCAAATACACCGCTCCCTAATACCACTGTTACAGGAGGTATATAACACCTAATACCAAGTTACGATTTCAACATATGAAATTTGAGGGGACACAAATATTCCTACCATATCAAGTACTTCAGGTGATTCAGAAGATCAATCAAAGTTTGAGAACAATTCCAGAGCCATAAGGAAAGTCTAGTGATGACTTTGAAAAGAAATGAAACTAATCATTGATTGAACCCACTACTGTGTTTCAGACTGCTTTGGAACTTTTTGACAATTTTATAGCAATTATCATCACATTTAGAAATCTACCTGATTGAGAAATTCAACATAATTCTGAAAAGAGAGAGGAAAAAATATAAATCTACCTATATTCTTCAATCGTAAAATCATAATTTATAAGGTACATTTCAGCGAACAAAATCAAAGCAGTTCATGAAATAATCTTAATACTCAAAATGTCCTTTGAGTTACATGCTGAGGAGTAGTAGCTTGTAAATAGCTTTGAAAAAATCACAGACCTTCCCAAATTCTATTTGCACTGGCTCTAGCCAAGTTTAACAAATGCTACCCTCTCACCCTAATAACAACAAGCACTTCCTTCTTTTCCTTTGTGATCTGAGCTCACTGCAACCTCCATCTCCCGGGTTCAAGCAATTCTCCTGCCTCAGCTTCCCAAGTAGCTGGGATTACAGGCGCATACCACCACGCCCGGCTAGTTTTTTGTATTTTAGTAGAGATGGGGTTTCACCATGTTGCCCAGGCTGTTCTCGAATCCCTGAGCTTAGGCAATCCGCCTGCCTTGGCCTCCACAGTGCCGGGATTACAGGCGTGAGCCACTGCGCCGGGCGCATGTTCTCTTTTAAGCTTGAAAGATACATGAGTCAGGACAATTGTTAAAATTAGGGTGTTGGCCAGGCACACACCTGAATCCCTAGGCTCTGGGAGGCCTAGGAAGGAGGATCACTCAAGGCCAGGGGTTTGAGACAAGCCTGAGTAACCCCATCTCTACCAAAAAAAAATTTTTTTAAATTAGCCAGACATGGCGGGGTAAGCCTGTAGTTGCATGTGCTTGAGAGACTGAGACTCAGAAAGTGAGGCTTAAGCTCAGGAGGCTGAGATTACAGTGAGCTATGAACACCCTGCACCAGTCCAGCCTGGGTGACAGAGTGAGACCCTATCTCAAAAAAATAAAAATAAAAAGACGGGGAGTGGGTGGGGGTTGTTGGCAAAAGAATGAGGGAATGGGAAAGGAGGGAAAGGGAATGAAACAGGTTAAAGAGTAAGAGAAGTAGGAAGAGCTTGGGAGAGAGAGTAAAGCAGTCCCCCAAATTTTTAAATTAAAAACTCAACTTCTTCAATCCTAATGTCTAGTTACCCAAATCAATATTTTATTGTCTTTAATAGCTCTGCTGGAAAAAAATATGTATTCACAGATAAAAAGGAACTCTAAAGTTTCTGTTTTTCCTCTTCTTTCTCCAAATATTTGGCTACCAGAGTATTCTTTGAAGTACCTCAGTGGCCAATGGCTATGCTAAAAGAAGCAATGATTGACAACAGCCATCCACCATGAAATCGGTGCCCAAGTATTTTATTTCACTGACTCCTCTAAACAGTTCAGTTTTATCCCATTGAAGAGTCACAAATCCCCTGGAAAATTATCTGAATATTGATCAATGTAGAATAAAATACTTTCTCTGGAATATTTAAATGGTCCACTAATGCTATGAAGACCTGAAACTTACAGAAAATTTGCCTCCCTTCTTTGATACTGCCTCAGGTTAGGAAAGACCATTTTGAATAATTTCTCTTCAAATCACCAAAAGTAAACATGAAGCACATCAAAACTGGCCAGTCTAAGAAATGACAAAATATTTGAGTAATTTAAATGTATTACTAAATTAATTAAGTGAATGTTTAAAATAATCTCATAAGGATTGCTGAGTTTTGCAGCCACGATTTTTCTCATTTGTATTCAATACCATACAATCATGAAGACAAAAAAATTACCACTTATATATACTCCCAATTATTTGCAGTTCCCAGTCTGTATTTAAAAGTAGACTAAAGAAACATATTTTTACTGCTGCTTTCAATTTTCCTTAATCACTGGTATTTGTTTTGCTTTAGTGCTTTGCTCTCTGACTTTTTGTGTGAGAGGTGCTTTATAAATTCAATTTGCTAGTGAGCTATGAGATGAAAGGAGTCTTAATGGTAAGTTTGAAGACTGTGGGTTTTTATTTCTTTTTTTTTTTTTTGTAGATGATACATATACAATTTCACCCTTAATTATCTGTAGCTTGTCCTGTCCATGGATCAACAAAGATATATATAAAACATGCCTGTACTAGGTAATTCTTTCAGAAAATTACACAATCAAATATGTTGGGTGACATTTGTTAAAATACATTTAGTACTTCATGTAAAATCTCTTCCTAGACATAAATATTCAGCACTATAATTTTTTGGTTTCTAACTACTTTTCACAAGATTTAAGTCTTGGAATAATTGTAATTTTCCTTGACCCTCTTTAGAGCAATGCAGTTTACATCACCATGTGGTACACTGAAGAGTCACACAGTGTTCTCTTAGATTTTCTCAACAATGCTTAACATTTTAAAAAGAGTTTCCTAAAGACTGAAAGCACTGTAACAGTACTTTTGGCTCCAGATTCTCTGTGTTGCTACAGCCACAAGTCAAGTGTATGGCTTGCAGCAGCATGAAAGGATAACCTGTGGCTGAGCCTAGGGACTCCATCCAGTTGTCCTAGAAAATTATAACTTTTTGTACCTCACCTACCTTGTGATAAATACATTTCTATTAGTGGATCACAGTAAGTCAGTTTGCTCAATGTGGTCATGTTTGATGTTCTATTACTTTTCTAGGCCAATTATTGAGAGGTTTTAGTTTTTTTTTTTTTTAATATTGTGTTTGTTTGATTAATTGATTTTTATGAGATGCTGTATTATTAATCTGTTATTTAATCTCCATTTATTTTCAACCTAGTACTGTGCTAGGTCTCATGGAGATAAAGAAATGAAGAATAAAATCTTACCATCAGGGAGCTTCACAATCTATATATGAAAAGCAAAACTGACAAAAATGAAATAATTGAATAATGAGTATTTGCTTTAGAAGTTCAGAAAAGAAGCTGGGTGTAGTGGCTCCTGTTTCTAGTCCAGCACTTTGGGAGGCCAAGGCAAGTGGATTGCTTGCGCTCAGGAGTTCAAGACCAGCCTGGGCAAAATGGCAAAACCCCATCTCTACAAGAAATACAAAAAAATTAGCTAGGCATGGCAGTGTGCACCTGTGGTCCCAGATACTTGGGAGGCTGAGGCAATAGGATCACTTGAGCCCAAGAGATCAAGGCTGCAGTGAGTCAAGGTCATGCTACTGCACTCCAGCTTGGTCAACAGAGTGAGATAATGTCTCAAAAAAATTTTACAGAAGAGAAGAAGCAGAATATTCAAGAAAGTATTTAATGAAGGAAAAGAGACTGAATATAGGACTTTAAAAGTGAGACAGGGCAAGCCAAGAAATAGGACAAGTTAAGGAGACAAACATGGGTAGGTCTGTTTCTCAGACAGTGAGGAGACTAGCTCAACTTGACACATGTTCTTTCCAAACACATATCACATATCTATCCACTTCTGTCTCTTTCCTTTGCTACCACCATGGCCCAGTTTGCTCTTAGCTCTCATCCAGACTTACAATAGCTGCGATTTTCTCCCTACCTTGCACCATCTGCAATTCATGGAACTGACACAATAATCTTTCCACTGAAAACAAGATCTATATGAGCCCCCTGCTCAATTCCCTTCAAATGGCTTCCCAATGCACTGAAAATAAAATCCAGACTTCTTGCCATGAACTTCAAGGCCCTAAATGACCTGGACCACATTTCCTGCTTTATCTTTTCTTCTAATATTTTATTCCTTAATCACTGTATTAGTCCATTTTCATGCTGCTGATAAAGACATACCCAAGACTGGGAAATTTACAAAAGAAAGAGGTTTAATTTGACTTGAAGTTCCATGTGGCTGGAGAAGCCTCATAATAATGGTGGAAGGCAAGAAGGAGCAAGTCATGTCTTACATAGATGGCAGCAAGCAAAGAGAGAGCTTGTGCAGAGAAACACCCATTTTTAAAACCACCAGATCTTGTAAGACCTATTCACTATCATGAGAACAGCATGAGAAAGACCTGCCCCCATGATTCTATCATCTCCCACCTGGTCCCTCCCACAACATGTGGCAAATATGGGAGCTATAAGATGAAATTTGGGTGGGGACACAAAGCCAAACCATACCATTCTGCCCCCAGCCCCTCCCAAATCTCATATCTTCATATTTCAAAACCAATCATGCCTTTCCAACAGTCCCCCAAAGTATCAACTCATTTCAGCATTAACTCAAAAGTCCACAGTCCAAAGTCTCATCTGAGACAGAGCAAGTCTCTTCCACCTATGAGCCTGTAAAATCAAAAGCAAGTTAGTTACTTCCTAGATACAATGGGGGTACAGATATTGGGTAAATATAGCCATTCCAAATGGGAGAAATTAGCCAAAACAAAGGGGCTACAGGCCCAATGGAAGTCCAAAATCCAGCAAGGCAGTCAAATCTCAAACCTCCAAAATGATCTCCTTTGACTCCATGTCTCATATTTAGGTCATGCTAATGCAAGAGGTGGGTTCCCATGGTCTTCAGCAGCTCTGCCCCTGTGGCTTTGCAGGGTGCAGCTTCCCTTCTAGCTGCCTTCATGGACTGGCATTGAATGTCTGTGACTTTTCCAGGCACACGGTGCAAGCTGTCAGTGGATCTATCACTCTGGGATCTGGAGGACGGTGGTTCTCTTCTCACAGCTCCACTAGGCATTGCCCCAGTAGGAACTCTGTGTGGGGGCTCTGACCTCACATTTCTGTTCCACACTGCCCCAGCAGAGGTTGTCCACAACGGCCCTGCCCCTGCAGCAAACTTCTGCATCCAGGTGTTTCCATATATCTTCTGAAATCTAGGTGGAGGTTCCCAAACCTCAGTTCTTGACCTCTGTGCATCTACAGGCTCAACACCACATGGAAGCTGCCAAGGCTTGGGGTTTCCAACCTCTGAAACAGCAGCCTGAGCTGTATCTTGGCCCCTTTCAGTTATGGCTGGAGCAGCTGGGACACAGGGCACCAAGTCCCTAAACTACACACAGCACAGGAACCTGGACCTGGCCCACAAAACCATTTTTGCCTCTAAGGACTCTGGGCCTGTGATGGGAGAGGCTGCCATGAAGACCTCTGACATGCCCTGGAGACATTTTCCCCATTGTCTTGGGGATTAGCATTTGGTTCCTTGTTACTTATGCAAATTTCTGCAGCAGGCTTGAATTTCTCCTCGGAAAATGGGATTTTCTTTTCTATTGCATTGTCAAGCTGCAAATTTTCCAAACTTTATGCTCTGCTTCCCTTATAAAACTGAATGCCTTTAACAGCACCCAAGTCACCGCTTGAAAGTTTTGCTGCTTATAAGTTTTTTCTGCCAGATGCCCTAAATCTTCTCTCTCAGGTTCAAAGTTCCACAAATCTCTAGGGCAGGGGCAAAATGCTGCCAGTCTCTGTTAAAACATAACAAGAGTCACCTTTGCTCCAGTTCCAAAGTTTCTCATCTCCATCTGAGACCACCTCAACCTGGATTTCAGTGTCCATGTCATTGTCAGCATTTTGGTCAAAGCTATTCAACAAGTCTCCAGGGCGTTCCAGACTTTCCTACATTTTCCTGTCTTCTGAGCCCTCCAAACTGTTCCAACCTCTGCCTGTTACCGAGTTCCAAAGTCACTTCCACATTTGCAGGTATCTTTTCAGCAGTGCCCCACTCTACTGGTACCAATTTACTGTATTAGTCTGCTTTCACACTGCTGATAAAGACATAACTGAGACTCAGCAACTTACAAAAGAAAGAGGTTTAACTGGACTTACAGTTACACATGGCTGGAGAGGCCTCACAATCATGGGGGAAGGCAAGGAGGAGCAAATCACATCTTACACAGATGACAGCAGGCAAAGAGGGAGCTGTGCAGAGAAACTCCCATTTTTAAAACCATCATATCTTGTTAGACCCATTTGCTATCATGAGAGCATCACAGGAAAGACCCGCCCCCATGATTCAATCATCTCCAGTTGGGTCCCTCCCACAACATGTGGGAATTATGGGGGCTACAAGCTGAGATTTGGATGGGGACACAGAGCCAAACCATATCATTCACTATGCTCCAACTTCACTGCTTTTTTTGTTCCTGAAATCAGGGTTGGAGAAAAACGAACATTTGATATGATGACATTTGCTTAGCACCATGTAGTTATAATCCATGTTCTTCATTTAATGTTCTTCATTAAAATTCTTACCAAAAAAGCTTATTTAGAGGGTGTGATTCCAATTTTTAAAATTCCAGAAAGTAGAAGATCACAGACCATGTGATTTTCAGATTTTGTGACTCTAACTCATGTCTTTGGACTACCATTCTGAAGAGGAAGGACAACATTTATAGTTAATGATTGATATATAAAATGTGATGAGAGGAATGAAAGTTAATTTCAATTGTTAAAGGCTAGATTAACAAGAAAATGAAAGTGTCATGAAATTGATAACCGCAAAGATGCAGAAAGAAGTATTAACAGGATATTTAGCCCGATTAGCCCTGTACCAGGATGATGACTTCTGCTCATGGCTCTACAAGCAACACAGCTGTGTGAATGTGGATGAGTCATTTCAGTTTTCCAAGTTCAGAGTTCTTCTCCGAAAGAGAGGGAGAAAAGTTTCTGACCTCAGTTTAGGCAATGGTTTCTGAGAAACAATTCTAAAAGGACGATCTGTGGAAAAAAATTAGAATAGGACTTCATCACAATTAAGAATTTCTGCTTTTCAAAAGACACTTTTTATAGAATAAAAAGACAAGCCACAGGCTGGGAGAAAATACTTACGAATCACATAATTGAGGAAGGACTTGTAGCCAGAATACATAAGGACAGAAACTTCACCAAAGAAGATATGCAGATGATCAATAAGCACATGAAAAGATGCTCAATATCATTAGCCATTAGGGAAATGCAAAATAAAACCACCATCATATATCAGTACACATGTACTATACCAAGTTTTGGCAGGGATATGAAGAGATGAGAACTCTCATACACATGTGGTGATAATGTAAAATGTTACAACTACTTAAAAACTATTTGAAATTTTCTTAAAATATTAAATATACATCTATCATATATCACCCAGCCATTACACTCCTAGGTTTTACCCAAGAGAAATTAATGTCTATGTCTGTTCAAAGGCTTGTACATGAATGTTCTTAACAGCATTATTTGCAATAGCAATAAGCTGAAAAATGTCTATTAACAGTAAATGCATAAACAAACACTGGTACATTTACATAATGGAATAGTACTTGGCAATAAAGAGGAATGGATACAGATAAATACATTAACATGGATGAATCTCAAAATAATTATGCCAAGTGAAAGAAGCCAGATTTGAAAATACAGATGATTTAATATTTAAAAAAGAATCTATGAATTGCAAACTAATTTATAGTGGCAGAAAAAAGATCAGTGGTTGCCTAGAGACGAGGAAGGGGAAATGAGAAGGGGCAGGGTTCAGAAGGGTGACAAGGGACATGACGGAGCTTTAGAGGCAATGGATATGTTTGTTATCTTGAATGTGGTAATTATTTTGTGTGTGCATATATATTCAAACCTTACAAAATTGCACACTTCAAATATATGCAGTTTATTGCATCTCAATTATATCTCAATAAAGCTCTTTAAAAAAAAAGCAGGAGAAAAGAAAGTAACAGTAACCAAGACACTGGTATTGACATAAGGACAGATCAGTGGAACAGAACTGAGAGTCAGAAAATACACCTACATTTGTACGGTCAATTGATTTTCAACAAAAGTGTCAAAAAATCATTGAGGAAAAGATCATGTTCTCAATAAATTATACTGTAAAAACTGAATATCCATATAGGAAATAATTACCCCATGACACCCTACTGAAAAATTAATTCAAATTAGATTAACTTTATATGAGATCAAAACCCATAACAGTGATTTTTTTGAAAAAACACAGGGGAAAATACTTGTGACTAAGGCTTAGAAACTATTCTTTACATAGGATACAAAAAGTATGAACCAATAAAGATAAAAAATGATAGAACGAAATTTACTAAACTTTTAAA